ACTTTGTGCAAGCTTTGTAGTACACAGTAGTACTGGGAAGTAGTTTGTGCAAGCTTTGTAGTACACAGTAGTACTGGGAAATGCTTTGTGCAAGCTTCGTAGTACAAAGTAGTACTGGGAAGTGCTTTGTGCAAGCTTTGTAGTACACAGTAGTACTGGGAAGTGCTTTGTGCAAGCTTTGTAGTACAAAGTAGTACTGGGAAGTGCTTTGTGCAAGCTGTGTAGTACAAAGTAGTACTGGGAAGTAGTTTGTGCAAGCTTTGTAGTACACAGTAGTACTGGGAAGTAGTTTGTGCAAGCTTTGTAGTACACAGTAGTACTGGGAAGTGCTTTGTGCAAGCTTTGTAGTACAAAGTAGTACTGGGAAGTGGTTTGTGCAAGCTTTGCAGTACAAAGTAGTACTGGGAAGTGTTTTGTGCAAGCTTTGTAGTACAAAGTAGTACTGGGAAGTGTTTTGTGCAAGCTTTGTAGTACAAAGTAGTACTGGAACGTGTTTTGTGCAAGCTTTGTAGTACAAAGTAGTACTGGAACGTGTTTTGTGCAAGCTTTGTAGTACAAAGCAGTACTGGGAAGTACTTTTTGCAAGCTTTGTAGTGCAAAGTAGTACTGGGACGTGCTTTGTGCAAGCTTTGTAGCACAAAGTAGTACTGGAACGTGTTTTGTGCAAGCTTTTGTAGTAGACATTAATACTGGGAAGTAGTTTGTGCAAGCTTTGTAGTACAAAGTAGTACTGGGAAATGCTTTTTGCAAGCTTTGTAGTACAAAGTATTTTGTAAAGACTCTTCTGTGTAAATGCATCTGTGTCTCAAGCTTTCTGACGTGCAGAAGAGCCGGGATGAGCTGAGACTAGCTTCGGTGAGATGAGAGAGGTTCAGCTGCGCTCAGATGACATGAAAATAGCCAAGAAGTGTGCAGTGTGAAGAAAGCAGTGAGAAGTGAGAAGTGTGGACTGTGAAGTGTGGAGTGTGAAGTGTGGAGTCTTAAGAGTGCAGTGTGAAGTGAAGTGTGGAGTGCGAAGAGTGCAGTGTGAGGTGTGAAGTGTGGAGTGTGAAGCGTGAAGTGTGGAGTGTGAAGTGTGCAGCGAGAAGTGTGAAGTGCGAAGTGTGAAGCGTGAAGTGTGGAGTGTGAAGAGTGCAGTGAGAAGTGTGAAGTGCGAAGTGTGAAGCGTGAAGTGTGGAGTGTGAAGAGCGCAGTGAGAAGTGTGAAGTGCGAAGTGGAGCTTCAAATGTGACATGTGAAACAGGACACCACTTTCGCAGAATGCACGCACGCACGGGCTTGGCTGGCGCACGGCGCATGCAAGTTCTATAGATGAGAAAAGGTCTTATATATATATATATATCTCTCTCTCTCTCTCTAAGGCAACTTCCGCCTCGTGCGGGTACTACTGGTATCTTTCTGTATATCTAAATAATACCCAATCAAATCCAGCTATCCCAACCAACGGAACCCCCAAGAATTTCCAGCCAAGGGCCAACTCCCTTCCGATGGACTTCAGCAAAGCTTGGAGGGCATTCCAGCTCTGAACGCCTGGAATCGGTGGGTTTTTCACCATTCTGAAAGCCCATTTGGCAAACCCGAAACGAGATTTGACACCGGATGTAACATGACTTAAGCAATAAACATGGTGGTAGAATGGGATATCATAACATCATGGGGATTCTTATGGGATTATATGGTGGTATAACAGGGATAGAAGCATCAGCAAGTTCGTTGAGCCACCGCCCTTGGCAAAATATGCGAAAGTCATTGGGAGCCATCATGCCAAAGAGGGTTGGAAAATGTTGTAAATGCTTGAAAGCAGAAACCAGTTTAGCTTCTTGATGCTCCTTGTTATGTTCATTCAACAACGATTCCAGATTGTCCAAGACATGGTTCCATAATTCTTGTTGGCTTTTGCCACATCGAGCCAGCTTTTCTGGGTGCTATCCAAATGCTTGTTGCATAAAGTCCCTACTTAAAGGAGTCCCAGAACATTTACAACGAATTGTCGGTGTTTTCCTACTTTGGGGGCCCCTGTGACACAAAACCATGGTAGATTCCTCGATGTTTAGGTCTCTCAACCGTTTCTTGACTCTGTGAGTTGGTCTTTCTGGGGTAAGGGGTACAGATTCCCCTGAGGTTTTTTTGCCCAGGTTTCAGATTTTTTTTCAGGCATTCTGCTTTACTGCAGAAAGCACCACCAAAACTTTTCGCGCAGGAACATGCTCTCGCCTCAACGCATTCTGGAAACTAGACGACGGATGGCCCGAGAGCGTAGAGGAGCAGAGTCTTCTGTTGTTAGTATGGAGACACGCTTTTTACACACAGGCTCTTTTACACACAGACGCTTTTACACACAGACGCTTTTACACACAGACGCTTTTTACACGCAGGCGCTTTTACACACAGAAGCTTTTACACACAGACGCTTTTACACACAGACCCTTTTACACACAGACGCTTTTACACACAGACGCTTTTACACACAGACGCTTTTACACACAAACGCTTTTTACACATAGGTTCTTTTACACACAGACGCTTTTACACACAGACGCTTTTACACACAGACGCTTTTACACACAGACGCTTTTACACACAGACAGACGCTTTTACACAAACACTTTCACACGCAGAGACTGTTACAGACAGACGCTTTGACACACAGACGCTTTTACACACAGAGGCTTTTACACAGACGCTTTTACACACAGAGACTTTTACACACACAGACGCTTTTACACACAGAAGCTTGTACACACAGACGCTTTTACACACAGACACTTTTACACACAGACGCTTTTACACACAGACGCTTTTACACACAGACGCTTTTACACACAGACGCTTTTACACACAGACGCTTTTACACACAGAGACTTTACACACAGACACTTTTACACACATACGCTTTTACACACAGAAGCTTTTACACACGCACGCTTTTACACACAGACGCTTTTACACACAGACACTTTTACACACAGACGCTTTTACACACAGACGCTTTTACACACAGACGCTTTTACACACAGATACTTTTACACACATACGCTTTTACACGCAGACACTTTTACACACAGACGCTTTTACACACAGACGCTTTTACACACAGACACTTTTACACACATACGCTTTTACACACAGAAGCTTTTACACACGCACGCTTTTACACACAGACGCTTTTACACACAGACACTTTTACACACAGACGCTTTTACACACAGACGCTTTTACACACAGACGCTTTTACACACAAACACTTTTACACAAACACTTTTACACACAGACGCTTTTACACACAGACGCTTTTACACACAGACGCTTTTTACACGCAGGCGCTTTTACACACAGACGCTTTTACACACAGACGCTTTTTACACACAGGCTCTTTTACACACAGACGCTTTTACACACAGACGCTTTTACACACAGACGCTTTTTACACACAGGGGCTTTTACACACAGAAGCTTTTACACACAGACGCTTTTTACACACAGACCCTTTTACACACAGACGCTTTTACACACAGACGCTTTTACACACAGACGCTTTTTACACACAGACGCTTTTTACACACAGACGCTTTGACACACAAACACATTTACACACAGAGGCTTTTACACACAAACACATTTACACACAGAGGCTTTTACACACAAACGCTTTTACACAAACACTTTTACACACAAACACTTTTACACACAGACGCTTTTACACACAGACGCTTTGACACACAGACGCTTTTACACACAGAGACGCTTTTACACACAGAAGCTTTTACACACAGACGCTTTTACACACAGACGCTTTTACACACAGACGAAAGGGTTGCTCCGGCACAGGAAAAATCGCAATTTTACCCCAGTTTCTACCGATCGACCCTCATTTCGTGCGAAAGGGTTGCTCCGGCACAAGTCAAATCGCAATTTTACCTCAGTTTTTGCCGATCGACCCGCATTTCGTGCGAAAGGGTTGCTCCGGGGCAAGTAAAATCGCAATTTTACCTCAGTTTTTGCCGATCGACCCTCATTTCGTGCGAAAGGGTTGCTCCAGGACAAGTAAAATCGCAGTTTTACCTCAGTTTTTGCCGATCGACCCTCATTTCGTGCGAAAGGGTTGCTCCGGGGCAAGTCAAATCGCAATTTTACCTCAGTTTTTGCCGATCGACCCTCATTTCGTGCGAAAGGGTTGCTCCAGGACAAGTAAAATCGCAATTTTTCCTCAGTTTTTGACGATCGACCCTCATTTCGTGCGAAAGGGTTGCTCGGGGGCAAGTAAAATCGCAATTTTTCCTCAGTTTTTGACGATCGACCCTCATTTCGTGCGAAAGGGTTGCTTTAGCACAAGTAAAATCGCAAATTTACCTCAGTTTTGGCCGATCGACCCTCATTTCGTGCGAAAGGGTTGCTCCGGCACAAGTCAAATCGCAATTTTACCTCAGTTTTTGCCGATCGACCCTCATTTCGTGCGAAAGGGTTGCTCCAGGACAAGTCAAATCGCAATTTTACCTCAGTTTTTGCCGATCGACCCTCATTTCGTGCGAAAGGGTTGCTTTAGCACATGTAAAATCGCAATTTTACCTCAGTTTTTGCCGATCGACCCTCATTTCGTGCGAAAGGGTTGCTCCGGGACAAGTCAAATCGCCATTTTACCTCAGTTTTTGCCGATCGACCCTCATTTCGTGCGAAAGGGTTGACGTTTCGTGACTCGCCGCCGGCACCACCCTCGGCCTTAAGAGAGAAAGATAAAAAGAAGGCGTGAGAGAGAAGGTGAGCAGGTGTGAAGATAAGAAGATGTGAAGATGAGCAGATGTGAAGATGAGCAGATGTGAAGATGAGCAGATGTGAAGATGAGAAGATGTGAAGATGAGAAGATGTGAAGATGAGAAGATGCGAAGATGAGAAGATGTGAAGATGAGAAGATGTGAAGATGAGAAGATGTGAAGTGAGATCTGAAAATGAGAATATGTGAAGATGAGCAGATGAGAAGTTGTGAAGATAAGCAGATGTGAAGATGAGCAGATGTGAAGATGTGAAGATGAGAAGATGAGAAGATGTGAAGATGAGAAGATGTGAAGATGAGAAGATGTGAAGATGAGCAGATGTGAAGATGAGCAGATGTGAAGATGAGAAGATGTGAAGATGGGAAGGTGTGAAGATGAGCAGATGTGAAGATGGGAAGGTGTGAAGATGAGCAGATGTGAAGATGAGAGGATGTGAAGATGAGAGGATGTGAAGATGAGCAGATGTGAAGATGAGAGGATGTGAAGATGAGAGGATGTAAAGATGAAAAGATGTGAAGATGAGAGGATGTGAAGATAGGATGTGAAGATGAGAGGATGTGAAGATGAGAGGATGTGAAGATGAGAGGATGTGAAGATGAAAAGATGTGAAGATGAGGAGAAGATGTGAAGATGAGAGAATGTGAAGATGAGATGTGAAGATGAGAAGATGTTTTACAGACCCCCACTATTGGAAGAACCCTGCGCTCAGACGCTCTCGGGAAAAATCCCAAAGCTGCGTACGCCAGATTTAAGGCTCATTTAGGGTTAGTTTGATAACGGGTCATTTCCGGTGCGTTTGGTGCTTATCTAGTTTTAGCGCTTGTTTGAGAATGTTTGAACTGGCTTTCATTTCGTTTCTGGTATTTCTTTCGGGTTGGTTTGGGGTTTATTTGGGATTGGTTTAGGTCTTGTTTAGGGTTGGTTGGAAATTTGTTAGGGGCGGGCTTCCGGTTGATTTAGGGTTTGTTTTTTGGGATAGGTTTGAAACTTATTTGGGGTTTGTTTGGGGTTTATTTGCTGTAAGTTTATGTGTTATTCAGGTTTTGGACAGGAAGCTTGTTTAAGATCTTTTGTGTGTTTATGTAAGTTTGGTTTGAAATTTATTCCATGTTGCTTTTAAGATTTAAGGTATTTTGGGTTTCTATTTGCGGCTGGTTTAAAATGTTTATCTAAGGTTGGTTTAGAATGTTGATTCAAGGTTGGTTTAGGGTTTAGGTTGATTTCGGGTTGCTTTATAGGGTGCTTATTTATTAAGGTTTGGAGTAAACTTGTCGAGGGATTTGTGTGGTTAATTTAGAATTAGTTTCTTGATGATATAAATTTGCTACGGTTTATATTAAGTTTGGTTTGTGCTGTTTCTTTTGGGTACCTTCTAAGTTTATTTTGGGTCTGTTTAGGGGTCTATTTAAAGTTGGTTTATATGCAGGGTTGTTTGGGACTGGTAATTAATGTTTTTTTCTAGATTGGTTTGAAGATTCAGGCGTTTCTTCAAGTTTCGTTACTGTTTTTAGGTGTGTAGGGTCTTAATTTCAGGTTGGCTTCACGGTTGGTTAAGGGCTTGCCTGGGTTGGCTTGAGGTTGAATTTAGGGTTTGTTTTAAGGTTGTTGTTTTCCATAGGTTTATGTTTGGTGTTACCCTTGTGTAGGTTTGTGGTTTATTTAGGTTTGGTTTCAGTTTACGATGTTTGTTTGGGGTTAGTGGTATTTTGAAATTGAAAGTGCGTTTTTGGGTGTGGTTGCTTTAAGGTGTTTGTTGAGGGTTGTTTCAAAGGGTTTCTTGCGGGTTGGCTTAAAGTTATTTAAGTTTAGTTTAGGTTTACTTCGCTTTAAGGTGCTTGTTTGGGGCTGGTTTGAAATTATTTAAGGCTTGCTTGTGGTTTATTTAGAGTTTTAGTGTTTTTTTTTTTATCGGGGCTTCTCAGATTGGTTTATTGATTATTGAGTCTTGGTAAGGTCTATCTATGTTTTGTTTCCTGTTTCCTACAGGTACGTTCAGGTTTTGTTTAGGGTCTATTTAAGGTTTGTTTACGGGGTTGTTCGGGGCTGGTTTAAAGTTTATTGAGACTTGGTTTCAACATTTCAGATGGCTTAGAGGGTTTATTCAGGGCAGGTTCAGGGTGTTTATTTTTGGGTTGGATTATGCTTGCTGGCTGGCTGTCCTCCCTCCCCTCCCTTGCTTGCTGTCCTTGCTTGCCTGCTGGCTGGCTTGCTTGGTGGCTGGCTGTGGCTGTCACCCTCCATCCCTTGCTTGCTTGCTGGCTGGCTTGCTTGCTCCCTTCCCTGCCGCAGTACCTTTTAGGATAGGTCGGTTTCTGAAAAAAAACTCCCGGGGGAATCTGAAAAAATCGCGGGAAAAATATGTAGCCTTTGTTTGTACTCTACTGCACGTGTGGTGCAGTCCTGAAGTGATAGTTCCCTTCCAAAAGCCCTTCCTCAAGTTCAACAGTACGTACATGCGACAACCGGTCAATCTCTGGTCACACTCGTTGAGACTTAAGAATCACTGGCTAGCCTACTGAAACGGAGCATGGATCCTCAAAACGGTTTTGTACTTGATGTACTTGGAACATGATTTCCAATTGAAAACTGAGTTTTCCTGCAAGGAGTTGCTCACGAGGTAGGACATGCTTACAAAATGGCTTACGCCATATATCTATCACCAAAATACTTGCGCCAACTTATACAAACCAGGGCCTTGCTTACACCGGATAACCATTTGACGTGACTTGTACTAAAGACCGCACCTTGCCAAAAATCTGGCAGGTCCAGAATGCGAGAACACCAGCAGTCCAGTGACTTGTCCAAGCCCAGCAACCTGCTGATTACTAAGATTGCTGAAACACGGCACAGCTGGGGAGTTTTTAGACCGCAAAATTTGTGAGTTTCCCAAGAAGAGTTTGAGCCACAGGCACATGATGCTCATTTCATATACTATGGGATGCTATGGGTAGCTATGTTTTTTTTCCAACATGATAAATGGTTTACATTTACACCCGTGCTAACTATAACATCGTGGCCGACAGTTGTGCCATATCCAGTACTCAACTGATTTTGGGGACACCATCTTTCCATGTTGCATGCTAAATTTAGGGGCTGTAAACCAACAACTGTTATTATATATCATTTTTCATTTAGTCTTATTTGCTATCAGAAATGCCATTATTATTTTTACATATTATGTTAGCAATGTTATTATATGTAAAAATAGTCCTATTGACCTCTTATTACGATTTCACCAAACTTTCAGCCACCAATGAAGCAGTGGTATCCCATAGATATTCCAGTCACTGGCTATTGGCCCTGAAAAAGAAGCACGATGTCACCGGGGATCACTTTGTCCAGTCGTAGGGATGGAACATCAACGCATGTCGGGTCGCTATCCACGCTTGGGGTTAAGGGGGAAAATATCCAGGAAATCTCGGCTTTTACCCTGTCAATCTAGGGGTTTCCTGCGGCATTTTACCAGCATCCAATTCTTGGATATGAAGTCACTGACTGGGCAAATAAATAGAGAGCTCATCATGTTGGATTGACATTTTATGGGCGTTGGCAAAAAGCGATGCAACACATTGGATGGTTTGCCCATCGAAATGACCAATGTCTGCAGGTTCCATGGCCCGACAAAAAAAATGTTTCGATGTACTTTGACCACCCACGGAGCATCAAATCATCATCCTGTCAGTGAAATACAAAGAAATATGAGCAACCAAAAGAGAAGCCATGGCTTGGGGGTGGTTCCACCTGGCCAATACAAACAATGCTGAGGCCTGGGGGGTCGCCATCACCCATATTCATCCACTCAAATTTGGCACTTTTGACCTTTAATATCGTGATTGATACCCTCTGGTGTCATCAACCATGCTTTGGTGGAAAACCTCCCATTTAGTACCATGCTTTCCCATTCAAACCTGCATTTAGTTCGGGGATTTCCTTGCTAGGCTCGGCTAGGCTAGCCATGTTGGATTACCAAAGAGTAACCCAATCTTTGATGCCCTACCCTCCTCCGGGTCCATTTCAAGCAGCAAATGTGACTGGGCGTAGGCGGCCGCTGTGACCAATGCAGAAGACGCACAGTAGGTGAGCAACGACAAAACGTCCATGCTGTTCAGCATCATCTGGCGACAACCCTGCTTTTTGGCCCAGAAACAACTTTTAAACATGAGAATCCGAAATCCCAGTTGAATTCAGCTTTCAAACCGATTGGCTGACTAAGGGAACCTCCCGTGGCAAATCTTTATAAACACATATCGTGCAAAAATGGCCGTGCAGTAGGTGGCCATTATATTTCCATCTCTCTCTCTCTCTCTCTCTCTCTCCCCATCACCATCTCCAGGAGTCTCATTACATTTCCACACGGTTTCGATTGATCTGGGCAAATTATAGTAAATATTTTCCACAGCTCAAATAAGTCTATTTGGAGTGTGTCCCCTACGGCTATCATTGAAGTCATTTTACTTTACCCAAATTTAAAGCTTGACATGGCCACTTCTTATATTCACAAACAGCGCTTAATAGATAGATAGATAGATAGGATAGGATAGGATAGGATAAGATAAGATAAGGTAAGATAAGGTAAGATAGATAGATAGGTAGATAGAAAGATAGATAGATAGCCAAATAGATAGATAGACAGACAGGATAGGATAGGATAGGATAAGATAAGATAAGATTAGATTAGAGTAGATGTAGATGTAGATGATTAGATTACAGTAGATGAAAATTAGATTAGATTAGATAGATAGCAGATCAAGTAGCCGATAGATAGATATATCACTAGTTCTGGCAAGAAACTTAATTAAACCCAATTAATTAAGATGAATGGACTAACTACTTACCCTTCAGGCCCTTCAGCAAGGTTTACCCAGTAAAAGTAGGTAGAAGTGGGCGACTAACATCCAAGGCTTAGGCAGCAAACAAGGGCCCATTAATCTATGACCAGTGGGTTTCCCCCTGCCTCATGAGTCAAGTCGAAGACGAAGCTGTTGGAATTCAGGCGATGCAAGGTGCCCAAGCAGCGTGTAGTGACCAAGCTCAGGACCATCATTAGCCAAACACCAGCGTATTTGCAGCCTTCTTTGCCAGAGACCTCAGAGTCTGACTTTTGAAATATTGTGGATTGGAATTGGCTTGAAATATGGACAAAATATATACACCTTTCTCAATATCCTCAAAAGAAAGTGTCCATGGAATAAAGGATTCTTCTCTCACCCAGAGGATTCCTGCGGACGTGTTCAACAACATATTGTTTGATCAACACCATCATTGTGCCCCCCTTTGCCGATAGGGTTTGTCCATCTCGCTGATGAAAATCACCGAGGAGATCTCATAGCTGATCTTAAGACCTGTTTACCCTGCCTGTGAATTATGGGCCTCGATATTT